ACCTGTCAATAAGATGGCGAGAAGATAATTCCCTTGGTTAGTGAACACGGAATATAAGGTGGAGGAGATATAGGTGCAGTACAGGTGCTCTATGTAGCCTCGTATGGATCCCCATTACACATACTATTTAAATATTATTTGAAAACCATTGTAAATTTGGATATCATGGGTATTATTTTAGGTTTTTATTCTACTATTCAGTGCCTGGGATGGAAAGATTTTTATTCTAAGTATGTACTTTGAATTAATTTGTTTTTCTTTTCACAAAATGCTTATTGGAAAGTAAACACCTACTAAGAGTATTCATATTGCAATATGAAATAAAACATTTTATTTTTGTCGGTAAATTATTAAGATTTTTTGAATTTTTTTTATATTTTTCGGGATTTAGAAATCCCGAAAATCCCGGGATCCCGATATCGGGATTCCGGGATTTATTTAAAAATCCCGAATCCCGGGATTTCTAAAAACCAGTCCCGATTGGCATCCCTAATAAATACTCATGCTACGTTTTATAAAATATACTACACTTAAATACGTAGTTTTTATTTACTCAACATTTTGCAATACAAACTGACAGCTCAAAAAATAAAAAATTTATATAAAAACAATTAAAAAAAAAACAAACGAAAAAAGAAGAAATTGAACAAAAACTGGACCAAAGGCGACAAATAGGTTTCTAATATATCTTCTAGAAGCACCGGAGATAGAGGTAAGAACGAATTTAAAGCGAAAAGCCAGCAAAAAACCGTGTAAAATCGTACACAATTAATAGCAAATATTTACATTGCATAAATACAATTGCAAAAGCCATTACAATTGCTATTAAGTATTAAGTATTAAGTTTTAAGTATTAATATAATATATACAAAATTGCCTTTTCAAAAACATAGAAAAATTGGTTAAAAAAATTTTTGAGTTATTAATATTTCCCCCGAGAATATTGTGAATCTGACGACACATAAAAGAAGATATGTATCTGAATTTTTTTTAGTTTTAAAAAATTGTTCGAAAAATATAATGATTACCTTTATAATAATCCATAAATACGAATTTTTGCTCAAATTGGATAACGCTTACTTGGTTTAGACTGTGGTCAAAATAGTGGCATTATTTTAACAAAATCTCCAAAACTCCATTTTCAAACTTTAAAATATTTTGTTAAATGGATTTAAAAAATAAAAGTTTTATATACAGGATTTTATAAGGGATATATAAGAATTAAACATTAGAAGAATGAGCTCAATACATTTCACAATTTTGAAGTATCTTCGATGTGAAATTGAAGGATTTCGGGAAAAATGCAATTTTTGCAAATAATTACAATTATAACACTATGCAACAAATTTTGGGTCTTCGAATCTTTCCCGAAGAAGACCATCGGGAAATGAAAGCAGACAATTAATAGACCCAATTCCCCAAAGGGTTTTAAAAAGTTAGCTCGTATTGTTAATTTATAGGCATTTTAAACTTAGCTTTTTTCAGTAAAATTTTCTCATATGCAATATCAAAAAATTTTGAGCATGATCCTCTCTGATTTTGATGAAATTCGGTGCACACATTCTTTTCATACATACAAAAATTTTCAGTTCTCCAAAATTTCCAAATTCGTTACGATTTTGATTTTATCCAAATTCAAAGTCATATTTCTAACAGTTTTTCTAAAAAGGATTAAATTTAATATTGTATATATTCTAACATATTTTTCCGATTTTAATGAGTTTAGACTGTAATTAATGCCTATGTGTTGTAGTTTGACAATACTTTATTTGAAATATTATGGTTCTAAAATAAGGATGATTATATCAAAAAATGTCCTTGAGGCAAGGATATCTTAAAAACGGTATATCCCATTTTCATTATTTCTTTACTAAAATTTTTTCATATATATAAAACAAGTAAGAAAATATAGTCGGGCTTGGCCCACTATATGATACCCTACACCAGTTATGAATGTTAAATGTGATTTATTTTTCATAATAAAGCATTTATCTTTATCTGTGGACCGATCCCGATAAAATGGGCTGGATAGATTTGTATTTATATAATATTTGTCTGTGCTAAATTTCATTGCAATAACAGTGCTAATAAATGAATTGCGGATATTCAAGTCACTTTCTGAAGGGGGCTTTGTGTGGGGGCTAGGGTTAAATGAAGTCCTTGGGTCAAAACAAACGTGTATTCCAAATTTCATCAAATTGTCTTGAAAATTGCAACATGTACTTTGATAACAACGTTTACATGGGCACATCGGCTCAGAAAGTGATTGTTAGTCGATCGGTATACTTTAAAGTGGGTATAGTACTAATATTTTAATGCGTTACAATCATCAGCACAAACGCATAATACCCTTCCCACTATAGTGGTGTAGTTTATAAAAATCAGAGTTGGACCATAAAGGGATCCATAGAAAATCGAATTTTAGTAAACTTATCCATTTTACTTCCGTATAAATTTTAAAATTTTTAATTTTAATTTTTCATAAATCAAATAAATTTTGAATATTTGGTTAGTTAGGACCGTTTGCGTTTCAGGTGACGATATATTAGGATTCAAAAAGTAACAAAATGTTCATTGTTCGTAAATATTTCAAAGAAATCTTCGTTAAAATCGCGTATAAGGATACAGAATTACATAATTTTATTAATATTTGTAAATATCAAAAGAAGGTGATCAGGTATTTTTAAGGAATGCAATAGAGAGCTCAAAGTATTCATCCGTCACAAACAATAAAACCGATTCAAAATGAAGGGATTTAGAAATCTAAAACGAAACTTTGGTATATTATTTCTAAAACTTTAAAAAGCTAAATAATAAACATTTTCGCTTTTGAACAAACAATAATTTGTATTTAAGAGAAAAAAATAATAATTTTTTACATCCTATATACATAACAGGCTTCGTTAAAAAGAACAAAATATTTTCCGTTTTTGTGATATCACAACTTTTTAGGAGGTTTTTGTATAAGTGATCACTATGCAGTAATACTAACTTCTTAAAAATTCCAACTCCTTCGTCTGCGTATATGAGGCGGAAATCACTGATTTTAAGCCACATTTTTAATAGAACAGCCACTGCAGAATTGATAGATAAAAAACTTTTATAAAATATATGATATCACAATTTCAAAAATATCGCGTGGAGCCCCATACATATGTATATTTATTGTTTGTTTGTTTCTCCGATTTATATAAAACTTGTCATTATCATAAGACTGGAATCATAATAATTCGTGGTTTTTGAACTATGTATTACAAAATATGGGCTGTTTTCCAATATTTCATATAATTTTATCTTTTTTCAAAAATGTCTACTACATTCGCTGTAAAGGTGATTTTTCGTCGTGAACTTCAAACTGAAAATCACGTTTTTATTATATTTGATTAGTAAAAATACTTTAGTATAATTTTTAATAAGGGCTTTCTTTTCTAACTTTATTTTTAACACAAACGAAAATGTTTTTTGTGAAAACAAAATTACTTACTTAACTCCCTATTTGTAAGCGAGTGTGATACATACTTGCTTCCAATGTCATCCCCGTGTTAAAATAATAAAATGCTTACTTTTCAATGTAAGTTTTTGCTGGGTTAGCGGAATGCAAGGGGCAATGTCCTGGTAAAAAATGTGTAAAAATTACAAAATGTAAAAAATCGTACTCACGACTACCATATTATTCTCTCGAGAGATCTAAACAAATTGTAAGATAATCGTTAACAACAATTTGAGGTACGTGACAGGCTTGTGCTAACAAATCGATGCCAGAATTCTTAAATTGTTCTAAAATGTATAAATATTTTGTCCATGAATCCATAATACACATTATAAAAACATGTATTCGCATATGGCTTCCCTAGTCATTACCAAGTTTTTGCTAGTACATGTTATTAATTTAAGTTAACGAAATCATTACTTTTATGTATGTAAATTAATTGGATCATATTTATGTACTTACACAACAACTTACATATCTATGAACACTACACACCATCTGCATTACTTTTCAACAGACTGGTAATGACTTGCATAAAGCTTTTTTACACAAACAAAAAAGAAAATAGCATTTGTAAGTGAAATCATTAATTGAAGCCCAATAAAATAACTTAGCAGTGGTGTTGTGAGTAGACAGTGGACTACACGCTTTATGACCAAGTTCATATCCTGTGTCGGCATTTTTTTTTTTTTTTTTTTTTTGCTTAAAATAAAACTTTTTAACTGCATGTTTGTACAGAAGTCCTTCTTTGTAAGCGAAGTACTTACCTCCAGTGTCATAGACGTTATACAATAATGAAATAAGATGCCAACGACTAAGTGGTGAAGAGTGGTTTAATTAGCTTTTTAACTCATTACTTTTCAACGTAAGTTTTCTTGGGATATTCTTTACTTTCTTTAAAAGTTCGATTTTTTTTATAACATAATTTTGTAAAAATCAGTATTACATAAATATTTGGATATTTTTAAAAAGCATATTAAAAGCAACATATCGAGGCTTGACAAAAAACTCTGAAAATATTTTAAAATCTAAATTATAGATAATTTCAAATTTCCCATGTCTGCATCTAAATGACATACATATATACATATGTATTTATATAAAATTAAGAGATGTTTTTCAACCATTGCAACTCTCTTAAATGTAATAAAATTTGTTCTCTGCATTAAAGCCAAATAAAAAAGGAAAAGAAAAAAGAGCAAATAAATATCTGCGAGGTATGTATCTCATCGTTCTTATTTAAATTTTTTTGTTGTTTTTAACAAAAGCAATCACCACCATAACCACCACCAGAGAAATAGTTCGGGTTGGGTAGTAGTTGGCATGTCGGTCTTTAGGATTTTTTGTATTGTTAAAAACTCCGGCGATACGTTTGTACTAGTGTGAGCTTGTTTATGTTTGTCCGCTGAGCAGCCAGAAAACAATGCATACAGCATTTACTTACATACCCTGAAGGTTTTTATGTCCAACCAGAAAACTGAGCTTCAGTCGAAAACTACCGTCTGTGGCTGCGCAAGGGCATTTCGTTTACGGGTCGTACCATCATTTGTGTCTATTAAATCAGTAAAATAAAATCAAATAAATTTAAACAAAACAAAAGAAAATACAAGAAAAAAAGACTTACTAAAATGTTCTTTCACTTGTCATCGAATCAAAAAATATAAAGTGTTTAAAATTAAATTAACAAATATACCTTCGAAAGAAATCTAAATACATTTTCAGTATCCAGTGTGACGAATATACAAATACAATTCTATATATTTGGAATGCAAAACATCTCATGGATACACACATACGCAGTTAAATCTAAACAAAAACACACTACAATTGTATACACATACATTGTTGCCTTATTATAACCAATCTGTGACAATTTCCGTCAAAATTTCCATACATACATAAAGTCGCGCGTACCTGTTTAATCGTTACTGTGTGTGACAAATATAAATTTATTTGTAATCTACATAAATCTTATAATAATACTTCATAATGATTCGTACAAATATGTAATATTTTTTTAACGAAAGATTTATTATGAATTTTATATAGTATTCGTAAAAATCAATCGAACATGCTGTTGTGATATTTTTAATAAAAAACAACTATAATAATAATTTTAAAAATACTCGTACAAATACCATTTAGAAAAAAAAAACGTACCAGCAATTGCATAAATGAAACCAAAAATACAAAAATAAAGTAAGAAATTTGCGGATTTTATTCAATATTCCTTTAGCAAGCCAATTAATACATCGATTATTAAATTAATTTGATCATCAAAAGTTAAACAACTAATTAAATTCAAATGCACATCCTACACCGAACTAATGATCATCAATTTGAGGATCAAAAATTTATGATGGTAAGTTTCTATCAATATTGCACTTTTTTACGTCTTCTCAAGACGAATATGAAAATAGTTCCGACGCTCAGAGTGTTTAAAGTGCATTTTGTGGTTGTTCCAAGCTTTAGGTTAAGATATCTCGAAGAACCTTGCAGTTAATAGGGAGAAAGATTGGGCTTTCAGATGACATAACAGATTTTATCAAACAATGTCTTAGCGCTGTTATAAAGATTCAAATATAGCCAAAAACGGGTATTTTTTAGTTATTATGACACGATATCTGAAAAACCTGATTAGGATTTAGCAATGCAACTACACTTAAGTACTCCTGTCATTTCTGGGCATCTGAATCCGCACGTCCAGTTTTGTATGGCTGTGCCAGTAATCCTATGTGTCCACTCAGAATACGTACCATCATACTACCTCAGACTTTATTATTTTGGCTTCTCGTCCTGCTCTCGTTAGGGTCGACCCATATGATCTTTGTGGTTATATCCACCGTTTCATTATTTCAAGAGGCCTTATAGGGTTCACTCACCCATATTTTTAATTCTGCCCTCATTGCGTCAAATGGTTTTGCGTTAACTACCTCGAGCTCCCTTCCCTTTAAAGCTATTACATTCGGTCTTTCGTTGTCGACTACTCCCGAGTGGCTTGGTACCCATATGATGTAAAGCTTACCTCTGGAAGAGTAAAGCTTTCTTACAATAAAATTCGGTCTTATATTTAACTCATCTGATATCGCCTTCTGGCTGTCGGCAAATATTCAATTTAAGTATCTGTTAAATACAAAGCAAATTAGAAACCGGGGTTTAAAAAAACCGGGTTATTCGATATTATAAAAATCAATATTTAGAAAAAGCAGAAAGTAGTAAAACAGAAAAAACCAGCTGAAACCCTAGTCGATCTCCCTAGTAAATATGGGCGCAATATTTATTCTAATCCAATTTACGCATTCCGTTATTGCTGGTTGTGATTAGGTATATAGAACCCAAGGGGGAACACTATTTAGAGCCATCCATCAAGCAACGGATTTCTACAGATATTTGCTCTAATGTTCCGCTTGACCAAGACATTCTATCTGGGGTCAGTGTTTCAAAGTTTGCTACATATTATGTGTCTGGTGTCGGGCACGTCCAATGATTGTGTATAGCCTTCCAAAGTGTTCAGAATACATTTATGACGTGTGTTATAACCGCTTTTGGCGAGTTTACCAAAAGTTATGAGCCGTTCGGCCGTAAGTGCCGCCTCATATCTTATGATTACTAATGCCTCATTTCATGCCTATTCTTCTTCTACATAGCGCCCAGTACCGATGCGCCTTGTTGATCCTATCCTTTTGTGATGTCTCCATTTTAGTTTCAGGTCAAGGATTACTCCTAAGTACTTAACTCTGTGTTCAATATACTTAAAAATTTGTTCTTTCTTGTGTAAAAACAAGCTTCCATCTTCGTCGGGTTAACTTTAAGGCCTATCGATTGAGCCTCTTCTGTTCTTCTACACAAGTAACTTGGATCCTTTTCCGTAAAAGTATTACGACATCGAGAGAAGAGCAGGTTTTCAACCATTATCGTTACCGCTTAAATGCCTTTTCAGCACCACAACCGTTACCGAAATAAGTATAAATATCGTTATATCTAAATTACCGATACCGAAACAAGCCAAAATTGCGATAACCCTATGAAACCGTTACCGAAGTAAGCTAAAATACCAATACCGTTACTGAAATAATTTAAAATACCGATACCACTAAAATACAGTTACCGAAATAAGTTTAAATACCTATACCGCTAACTTTTCATCGTTTCAAAACGGTTTATGTTTGAAAAAAACTTTCTCGATAAAATTTAAAATAATCGTAAATTTTTTTAAAAAAATCAGAGAATATAAGAATTCTATATATATAGAGTTCTAAAAATATGTACCGATTATTTTTATCCGATATTCTGTCAACTTTGAGTTTAGAGAAATATTATTCCTTAATTCTATGTATTTATTTTCTAATGTTCTTATTACATTCTGAATATATTTTAAAACTGAGTTATTTTACATAACGTGTTTGTACTTGTTTAATCTGTTATAAACAGCTTAAAACTCAAAATTCACTTTTTCGACTTAGAATGTTTTATATATTGAAACATTGCTCAAAATAAATGATTAAATATTTTTAAATTTTCCAAAAATCGACAAATTGTAACTTTGTTATTTTTAAACTAAAAATTAGTTAAGGCCTAGGTCTATTTCTTCGGATTTAATGTAAAATATGTACATCTTCCTTTAAAACTATCTTACTAAGAGCTAACAGTATACATACTAGGGTATTCAAACGATTAATCGTCGATCGGTTTCGAATATTTGAGAAATAACTTAATTAAAAAATATACATAGATTTGAACTCAAAGTGAAGAATTATAAATAAGCAACATAATTATTATTATTATTATTATTATTTTTTTTTTTTTGAATTATCCGATTATAAACCGGCATAACATAAAACCGCAAATAGTTATTTGTCAAATAAACCGAATAAGTCAGAAACGCGAATAATTGAATACCCTAATACATACATTTAATAATTCCAATATCTATTAGTGATGAGCAGAGCAAGGATTTGTATGCAAATGTATGTTTGTAGTCAGTAACTCAAAATAACTTTTAAGTAGTTTTCTTTTCGAATCAAAGAATTTGCCACAAAATGGCATCGATTTGTTGTTGCATATTTTGTTGTAAATGCATAAATTGCATATTTTGTTTTAAAATGCATATATTTTGCATATTTCTAAAATATATACATATATATTTTTAAAATTAAAAAAAAAAAAAAATTGTAAACAGTAAAGAAATATCTATCTAAACTTCTTTGGACAATTATTCCTAGGACCAATTGTTGAAAAGTTACACTCATTTGAAAAAAACCCTGTATGATCAAAATGTCTAATTTTTATCATCTCCAACTCCGGCAGTACTTGACCGATAAAGTTCTTCACCTATGTGTCTGACTATCCAATAGTACTGGTGCAAATTTCATCCAAATCGATTTTTTGAGTTGGGTCACTTGACACGAGAGGACCAGAATTACACTAACAAAAATTTTAATTATTTTTCCAGCAATAAGCTCAAAATTACGGAATTTTTTACACCCAATTCGAAAAGATTGCAGAACATTTTTTTTTAACATATTGTACTGAGATTAAGTTTTTTAATCGCATTTAGGGAACTGAGGACCTTTTATTTTTCTCGTATTTAATACATTAAAACGCATCGTTTTAGAGGTATTCCTCCTAAAAAGTGGTCCACGGGACACCTTAACGTACATTAGGTTATGACTTTTTGCAAATATCAAAAATACTATAGCAAAACCTTGTCTTTAAACCCTTTTTATAAAATTTCTAACAAATCGCGAAAACATTGTATACTTTTATATGAAAATTATTAAAATCATTTTAGTAAAAATAACGCACAAAAGCATTCCAGAAATTGCGTTCGGTGCGGGAAGTTTTTTTCACCGAATTGACTTAAAAAATAGCGTGATATTTTGCCTCCCAAAAAAGTAATTACCCTAATGTACACCCTAAAATATACCCTTTCAACTCGACTACTGATTTTAGGGATTGATTAATTGATTTTTAGAAGTAAATCTTTTTACGCAAAAGTAATTAGATTTGCAAACTATTATGTTATTAGAGGAACTACTGTAGCTTAATAATGAAAACTGAGCCTAAATTAATTTAATTCTCTATCACTTTTTAAAAATTCATTAAGAAAAGCGCTTAAAAGTTTATTCTAAAATAAAATTATAAAAATATAATAATATACTTACATAAACTTTAAAAATAAACAAAAATAAAAAATAAGCAGAAAAACCTGAAGATACGTTTCAATTATCAAAATAATTGTAATTTTGCACTTATTACCAAAATGATGTTATAAATTGAAGCATGGATGCTTTGCCTAAAACTCGGCTTATGACATAATAGTATTCAACTGATCTACTTACGTCAATTCCTAAAAAGATGAATTAAAAAACCCCCGATATTTTGTAAAATCTATACAAGGCAATAACACATTTTAGTATGGGACTAATTCTACCAATTAATATGAGGATTTCATGTCAAGTGACCCGATTTTTGAAACAGATGTCTTCCGATCGGAATGAAATTTAAACAAGACTGTTCAAGAATCCTCTGAGATACAGTGGGTTAAAGCTTGACATTTTTGCAAAACATATATTTGGATAGCTATTTCTTCGAAAAAAAATATTTTAAAAAATTAAAAAAAAATTTTAAAAATTGGCCTTTTTTGCAAAATAATTTTTTTTATTTGAAATGAAAATATTTAACTTCCTTTTTTATATAAGTCATTCTAAAACATAAAAAATAAAATATATTTATAATTATATACTAGACAAATTAACCTTTTCGGCGGTATGTAACATGTCAAAATAAAATCTCATACCGTCGATATTGTAAATGCCCTCAATATGCTAACCTCAAGAATAAAATATTTTTTATTTGATTTCGCAGACAACTATAAATGTTCTGCATTATGCACAATGGGGCATAATCACATTTCTGAAAATTATTCTGGCATTTCGGAACGGCTGGTTCAATTGGGACATAGGCGTAGTTAAGGAGCATTACATTTTACATTTTGAAAATAGTCCCCATAACTTCTACAGGGTCAGTGCAATGTGGGCTCAAATTAAGCCACCTTGGAGGTGTACATTTTTAAACGGGTATCATTTTTGTGTTTTCCATCCGATTTAAAAGATGTTTATATTTTCTGAAAGTGTGCTTTTAACATTTAACATTTTCAAGCCATTTGAAAATTTAAATTTAAACCTTTTGCCATACCTTGACCTACATTTTTTAAAATATCGGGCGTAATTTTGAACCAATTTTACGCAATTTTTTCTATAAATTAGATAAAATATTTTTTCGAAAGATTGAAGAACAAATTTTGGAACAAACTTTTTTGTTGAAAAATTATATCTAAACTACTAAAAATTTCATCCCGAT